TCAAACCTCAGGAGAAATTAAGACCCCGCATCGCATCCAACGTGTCTATGTAACATTGGTAATATTGGGTTGAGTGGATGAAAGCATTTTCCGCTAGCGTTTTCCATTTGGTGAAAAATGCGGAGGAGAGATCCATGTATGGACCTTTTTAAATGGAGGTCTCCCAGCGTATGCTCTCCGATTTTAAGCAAACTGGTGTCAACCGGTAACAAATTTAGTTAATATGAAATTTGCAAAAGACACGATCTCCCAATGGTCACGTTTGACCGAGATATTTGATTCCGAAGAGGAGAAAGTGCGCAGTAAATTTGGAAAGTGTAAAATTTGTCAACTTTAGGGCACGTTTCCTCCTCCTTGGATGCAAATATCTCCGCCAAAACGTGGCCATTGAGAGATCGTGTCTTTTGCTAATTTCATACCAATTAAATTTGTGATCGATTAGCAAAAATTTGCCCAAAATCGATGAGCATGCCCTGGGACCCCTCCCTTGTACGTACTTTCACCCTCCCGTGTAACACTAAATGTGCAAGATTATTCAGGTGTAACTAGCCATCCCGTATTTTTTCAAGTAGATCCATCCATATACATGGAAGAAGAACATTTTTGTTGAAAATAAAAAAAGCTCCAAAGGAAGTATTGCAGACGCTCTTCGTAAAAAAAATCCATGGTCGACTCCGTCCGGAGGAGGAGGTAGGAGGGATATCAATATTTTATAATATTGCTTTTTCTCATCGCGACAAGGTGGCAAAATTGAGTCGTAGTAGTTGAAAAAACTTGTCTGATAAATTGAGCAAGGGGAACGCGTCGTACCGTTGCGGCAACTCATAATATCGAAAAGGTTACGTAGTACAAATTTCTGAGAGAAAACTTTATTTTTATTTTTAAGAAAGTTTACGCAAATTTGAAGGTACATGTAATGGCATAAATATTTAATGGATTTTTATTGCATCTTCTCCCCAGTCAAATTATGGCGATGGGGCAAATCCAATTTTAAAATTGGCGTTTGACGCATCAATGATGCAACACTGAATATGTATTTTGTCAACGCGTAGGAAATGATTGGTTCTTCTTGTGCATTTCCATTTCCGTCTCCTTCTTTGAGAGGGCCACTCACCACGAGTGACGAGCGTATGGGCTAAAGATATTGAATTTTTTCCACTCCATCATCGCACAAAGGATCCCTCTGTCCAGGCAGAAAAGACGGAGGGAAGGTGGGAGTGGGTTATTCAAGGGGGAATAAAAACAGTCTTCATCAACGTCATTATTTTTTAGACCAGTGTTCCGGTTCGGGCGGGTTTGCTACATTTCTTGCACTGGAAAGCAAGAAATTCGAGGTGCAATAAACTGGGAGATAGTGCAAGAAATATGCGCTATCTAACCACGTGTCGGGAAGTAGTTTCTTGCGTTTTGCATTTCTTGCAGGTCAAAATACCTGCGAAAAACAGTGATTATTATCTTATACTTGTGTTATATTTCTTGCACTGCAAAGAAAAAACGCAAGAAATGCGAGGTGCAAGAAACTGGGAGAAAGTGCAAGAAATATGTGCCATCCAGTCACGCGTCGTATGAATGATAGCGGCGGGACGTAGTTTCTTGCATCTTTCATTTCTTGCAGTCATAATACCCACAAGAAACCACTTTCTCCCCGTTATTTCTTGCACGTGGTTACTCTCACCCGAAACACTGATTGACACAGATGCCTAATGTCCACGTGTGACACGGAATAAAGCAGACGGGCCAATGTACTATGTATTTGTATGATGTGCATGGTTCTCTTAGTTGAGTTTGATCTGGCTTGATTTCGTCCATCCATGCAAACATTGAATTCGAATTTCCAAATTCCAATCGGTCCCTTTATACTTCTCGCAGATTGGATAACTGCTACTCTCATTCGTTCCTTGTATGTACAAGGCATTGCAATTTCCAAATTTCGCAATCCTTTTACAACTCTCAGTTCATTCAGTTGAGCAGTTATAGCTCAATTTCGGGTCTTTAGAAGGCTTTATTTCAAGACTGGATGGGGGACTGGAATTCAAGATTCGTTGAATGGATCGGGTCGGACTTGTAGTCGTGTCCAACTCATTGAAGCGAATATGATTGAAAAGGAATTGGGATGGAGAAGCAATAACTTTCTCCGTGGAGAAAGCCAGGCATACATAAGCATACCTTCCTCCACTCACATCCTCGCACTCGCCTCCTGCTTGTACCTTCCTCCATTTTCTGTTTTAGTGCGTGTACTTATACAATCGACGACGATGAAGGCGACGACCGTGGTGGGCGATAATCTAGAGATTTTTTTCATCAGCCATCATGCTGTTAGACCCCAACTATGAACTGACATACAATGGAGGTCTCCAAGTGGATGTTCTCTGATTTTGAGCAAACTAGTGTCATTCGATCGAAAATTTAATTATTATGAAATTTGGAAAAGACACGATCATCCAATTGGCAATTTTGAAAGAGATATTTGAATCCGAAGAGGAGAAGATGTGCCTTAAAGTTGACCAATTTTATACTTTCCAAATTTACTGCGCGTATTCTCCTCTTCTGATACAAATATCTCTACCAAACGTGCCAATTGACAGATCGTGTCATTTAGAAATTTCACATTAATTAAATTTGCGATCGATTGACACTAATTTTCTCAAAATCCGAGAGCATACCCTGGGAAACCTCCCTTGTTAATGGATATGTACCATTTTTACATTAATGATCTCAAAAGGTGAGGTGAAGAAATAGGGACAGAATTCCTTTTAGTTTTCCCATTATTATACGAATCCACACCAGATATGGTTTCCTGCGTCTTGGCCAATTTCCTTCTCCCCAGAAACCTTAAAGTAGTCCTGATTAACCATATTTGGCACTGGTGCCATACACGCGTACCTCACGAATTCAATCACATTTTCCAATTCGTCTCAATCGAATCGAGAGTGAGCGGATTGAGATAAATAGGCTTATCACCTCGTAAATTGAAATACCTCCGAGACGACTATAACATACGTATAACAGGATAAGAAGGACTCCAATTTCAATGAAGTTACATATACTTTCGTGCCCGGCTAAGCTGCCCCTTGCGGAGAAAAGTTTGACACTATATGTATCTACTTACCTCATCGTCATTCATGTCGTGTTTCCCCTCGAAGAAAGAATTCCACGACATTTAATGTATTTGTTAACTTGGAGGCTGCATGAACCATATTCCAAAATCTAAAAATCTAAAAAGAAATCATTTCGTTGTACTTTCTCCAAAAAAATCTGGGTCATAAAGTAGATCACCTATTCCATTTAGGACGAGAGGGTGCCATAAAATCGACGCTGGCATACCAAATAAGGGGAAAACCTCTCTAATTAGTTCAGTGGGGGGAAGATTCACAGTTCATCGGGCCAACAAACCAGATGCACAGCACATCCTTTCCAATCATGTGCATGCATGTGTAGTGACAGGGTTGCGTTTAGTTTCTTGCGGAGTTTCTACATTTCTTGGAGTGCAAATCAAGAAATGTGAGGTGCAAGAAACTGGGAGAAAGTGCATGAAATATGCGCCATCCAGCCACGCGCCATATGAAATATAGCGGCGGGAAGTAGTTTGTTGTTTTTCTTGCAGGTTAAAATACCTGGAAAAAACCAGTGTTTCGTTTCTTACTGGTTTGCTACATTTATTGCACTGCAAAGGAAGAAATGCAAGAAATGCGAGGTGCAAGAAACTGGGAGAAAGTGCAAGAAATATGTGCCATCTAGTCACCCGCCCTATGAGCTTTTGCGATGGGGCGTATATAGTTTCTAGCGCTTTTCATTTCTTGCAGGTCAAAACACCCGCAAGAAACCATTTTCCCCCGTTATTTCTTCACGTGGTCCCTCCCACCCGAAACACTGCATATCGAGAGAGAAAGGTGGTGAGATTAAAATCCTTCCGGAGAAAGTAGGCTCACCCACCACCCAAAGTGGCCACATTCTCCAACTGGGTGAACATTGATCTTGAATGAATAACGTTTATTAGGGTTCTTAAAAGGACGGAGCACACGGCTGAGTAGACATGACCTGTCGTCCCCCTTTGGCACTGCTCCACCAAGACCATCACGACCGACGCAGAGGCCGAGACAACAACGCAGTTAGGGAAGCAGCTCACGTAATGCATTAAGTAGACCAAATGAGCTGTAAAGTAAAGAAGGATGGAGGTGCGGAGGAGGAGTGGTGGGACGGCAGGGAAGCAAATAAGTGGGACAAGAACCACCTGAAATAAATACCCTGTCCCGCAAACACCTATTAATTAGTCGGGATTACAACCAGCCAAAAACACTGGTCGACATGATGGCAGGCAGGAGAGAAGAACAGTTTGTGGTGGTGGTGGAGAGAGAATAGCGTTCCAGAGTATAAAATTAACCACAAGGAAGGTATGCACTACATATTTATTGGAATTTCAGACCACACCAGTGCTGTTTACTACACCTTCTACTAGGAACATGTTTAAGAATGTGGTTTGATCCTGGGTCAGGCTAATTCTTAATTGATAATCTGGAGAAAGTAAAAACAGATACATATGTATGTGCGTGTTTTGGCGAAATGTAATTTAGTTCACCCACTCAATATTTAGCGAATTCTGTTTTTTCAACTAAAGTTCAGAGAGGCATGCAACAGATTTGGCTAATTCGAGAATGTATATGACGACTACTGTTCGTTCAAGAAAATAGAGATACAAAATTTGAGAGGTTGTCTGATAAAATTTCCTTACATGACGAAAAAAATTTAATTTACCAAATTTAATAGCTTTTGTGTTTTTTGGAACAAATAGTAAGCCTTGCATACATTATGGAAGTATCATTTGTTCAGATTTAAAGTGCCGTGATGCTGTATGCAAGCAAAACTTGCCCTTAAAAACTGAACTCCAAACTTTCTCCAGCTAAGCGGACTCCATCTGCAGTGGAGAAAGCACACCCACTGAGGAAATCAACCTAGAAATGTGTCTGTTTGGAAAAGAGTGCGCACACTGCTCGGAATCATAACTTGATTTATTATATATTTTCTATACTTTTTATTTAGTATGATACTTATCATAAATTTATTTTCTCAATTTTAAATACGTTTTAGGACTGCATGTATAAATTACAGATTTTTATGCCCATTTCGGCAAATGAAAATGCTGCGGGTTGAAATCTTCCAATGATTTAATCTGCAAAATTAGTTTAAAATGCAGGCGTTAGGTTAGGTTTGCGTCAATAAATGTATGGTTTTACATACGATTTGTGTGGCATTCTGCGACGTGATATCGAGACATGGGTCCGGCACCCAGACGACCTATTTGTAAGGAATTGGTCCAATTTGTGACGAATTAATTTTTGTTGATACTTTAATAAAGGTTTAACAAGCAAACAAATAAACAAACCTGCATTCCAGCCGCCAATCCAGCCTTCACCCCATTTATGGAATCTTCAAACACCAACACCTACACATGGTGAAAGCATAACAACAACACGACCTGTAATCAAACCATAACAAAACTCATAAAAGTAAACACACACTCACGGATTGCATGCTTTCTGGCGGATTTGGAAATCTTTTGGCCGCAACGTGGAAAATATCCGGATGTGGTTTCCCCTGCACCACTTCGGGGTCATCGGATCCAATGACAATGTGACTAAATTTCCCGAAAAAGTCCTCCTTGCCTTTCGACTTGAGACGAAATGTGGTCGTTTTACTGCTTGTCGCAATTGCTTGAGGTATCTGAGCCTGGGCAAAGTGCGAGACCAACTTTTCCGCTCCAGGCATCATGTCCACGTGTTGGAAAACGGAAGGGTACTGGCTTTCCATGAGGTCCAAAAACTCTTCACAACTGATTGGCAAGTTGCACTTGGTTATCACCGCATTCGCAGCGTCTGTCGCTGTTCTGCCGAGAGCGCCTAATTTAGCCTCTAAGGTATATTTAGACCCAAAGTTTTCACAGATTGTGCTAATGGCTTTTTCATACTTGGGCTCCGTATCTGTTAGATAATAGGAGGAGGAACATATAATTTGCTGTGGATACTTAATGGCACCGTGTCCTCAAAATAAATTTTCAAAATCTCTAGCAGTGTTTCGGGTGAAAGTAAATAACCAATTGCAAGAAATAACGGGGAGAAAGTGGTTTCTTGCAGGTATTTTAACCTCCAAGAAATGCAAGGCGCAAGAAACTACGTCCCGCGGTCATACTTCATACGGCACGTGGCTAGATGGATCATAATTCTTGCACTTTCTCCCAGTTTCTTGCACCTCGCATTTCTCGCTTTGCACTACAAAAAAATGTAGCAAACCCTCAAACACTGATCTCCCTTCATCTTACATACAACGTGAGGTTACACAATTAGCAGAATCATCCCTTTACACCCACATCAAACTTGTATACACACAGATAATAATTCCCTTGTGTACTGCTTGCCGATATTATTTTCAACATGTCAAACTTAACAAAAGGAGGGAAAGACTCAATAAAAAGTGTATGTCGAAATATACCCAGAAGAGAAAGCATTGTATTCGGAGGACGAGCACTTACCCAGTAACAGACCATCCATGTCAAATATGACGTGAGTTATAGGGTGAAATTTTTCAATCATTATTGCTGCTTCCTTGTTGCTCTCGATGTTCTGTTTGTGCGGTTGGTATCTTTTCCCCGTCGAACTACTACCGGGTATGGGACTTGCTACTGTACGTACTTCTTCCCACTTGGTATTCCGTCCGCCGTGGAGCGAGGCCCGGTATAATTCTGATCTTGAACTTTGCTTTCACTTACAAAATCGTGTAAATGCAATGCAATGGTGCAATGCAGTATCCAACCTGATACAGTCAGACACGCCATGTGTATATACTACTTAACGTGTTTTGTTTCTATGTATATTTGCATATTTAAATATATTACTCACTCACCTTGCCCACTTCTCTCGGAAAAGTGTCACGAACGAGGCTTCGTCCACTCCGCAAATCGGTTCGGTTGTTACCCGGTATCTGAGAATGCTAAGATTACTTACTTACACTACACCACTAACCATCTTACAATGCCATCATCGTCATGATCATCGGTCGGTGAATGAACATTGCTGGTTCAGTGATTCTTTTTTCAGAGAGAGAGCCGAGATTGTGGGTGAACTACAACTCGTCCGTAGTAAAGTTGTAAGACTAAAAGCTCCCCAGGATTCAGGTGCTTTTAGTTAACCGAGACAAGTATTTTGTTCCCTCGTACTTAGCGTTTTAAGTGAAGATGAAAACATGAAGGAGAGGAGAGGAGAGAAATGTTGGCAGAAGGAGTGATGGGAAATCAATGAAACGGCGGCCAGCAGGGCGGAACGGGGCCCACACAACTACTTTTATACTGAGGATGAATCTCTCCACCAGCCAAAATCCAATCCAATTCTCATTTTATTCCGTGGCTTGGTTCACTTGGAGAGTGCTTGCATGGTTGGCTGGATACACAACAAGATTAGATTGTGGATCTGTCTATATTAGCGATGTCATATTTATTTATTATGGACTTTTATGTGGAGGACCGAGGCATACGTGAGATATAGTAATTATCAAGTAAATGGTTAAAAAACGTGGGGATCAATCAATCGTGGTTGTTCATATATTAGTAGAGGGCGGATATGTATGCAAGAAAAATTTGTAAAATGTGTATTTAATATTTGAGACCAAGATAAAATATTTATGATACGTATCAAAAACATACTTAAAAATACGAATTAAAAAAAATTATTTTTGATCATAATGCTCTGGGTTTACTGGTGTACAAATTCTTCGACCAAAAAATTCTCGTCTCACGTCATTAAAATGTTTACAAAATATATGTATTTTTGAAAATATATCTAAACTATTTGCAATATATATGCATTTTTTTAAATCTCTAAAAAATTTACAAAATTGATGTATTTTTGAAAAACATCTAAAATATTTACGTATTTTTAAAAAAATAGTGGAAATATTTATATTTCTGAAAACCTAGAAATATGTCACAATATGCAAAAATATTTTTAAATTTTTCCGATCTATACGAGTGACCTACCCACAAAGTTTGACCGCCCGTCGACATCCCCTGAAAAAGTTTGGAATAAATCCATATCCGCCCTCTGCATATTAGAGGACGTGTCTCTGGTAAAAATGCAATTATTCATGGAATCATTCAACATAATCTAACACCGAGTGACGGGGGAGTGAGTGGGCTTAATGGATTTGTATTTACAGAGGAGAAGAAACATGAGCCGAGGAGTCAACTCTTTCCATGATTAAGTGCTATCTATTAAGCACCCTTTTTGGTGGAGGAGAGGATCATGTGATGGAAAATTATTTATTAATGATGAGTTCATATATTATTCATATTTATTATTCTTTCTGGCATCGGTCGCGATCGGGCAGTGTGTAATTGGCCACACGACTCACTAAACACACGAGGAGTTGATTTATTGGGGTAATAATTATACCAGTATTTTCCCAATGCACATATGCGTATGCATACATTAATTTGCCTACACTGTTAAAAATCTGGTAGAGTGAGATATATACTCCGTACTGGTATTGATCTGGTAATAACTTTCTACCGGGTTGGTAATAGTTTGATTCTGAATGGTAAATTTTGCATTGCCACAACATTATTGAACGGTAATGCCCGTTATTACCATTTCCGGTAGAGTCATACTTGCATACGCACTCCAGTCAGTAATGATTTAACACCAATTTTCTAAGAGTGTGCATACCCTGGAATTTTCCTAATTCTTAAATTAAACGACCCTTATAATTTGATCCACTTCTCAATGTTTTGTTCGAATATTAAGATTTCTCCAGGGTATATAACAATGAAATTATGTAGGAGTTCTCTCCAAATCTCGGAAATAATATTCCTTACTCGGAACGAAAATTGTTTGCAGAACGTTACATTACAAACTCCTCAAAGATTTCAATTCGCACATATTCATTGTTTTATTATGCCTGTATCCTCTCTCTCTCTCTCCTCGTGTGAGATGCTCGAAGGAGTGATAGTCTCATCAGTCCGAGGCAGAGAAAGTGCTTGTGAAGAAAAGCATTTAAATGTGGAAGGAACCTCAATATATTTGGTTAATAGTGAAAGTAATGGCGAAATAAGTAATATTTGTATAATGGTGAAATCCACAGACTCACACTGAGCAAAAAGAGAAAGAAAGAAGAAGAAGAGAGTGCACACAATCTCAGAATTTTGCTCGCTCTCCTGCCCGGATGCAGCTGATTTATGAAGCTCATAATCTAAATCGGACAAAAGATTTACGAGGACGTAATACAAAGGGTTTTCTAGTCTCAAATCTCACTCAATGAGAAGACCAGAAACCAAAACTAGGCACTAAGAAATAGGGTGCAAAGAGTACACTATTTTCTAGCACCAACCATCCATTCATTCTTCACCCACACACACGAGTTGGATTGGATTTTGGGGGGTCGGAGTAGTAATAACTGGATTTAATCATCAAAGGATATCGTGGGTGGGTGGATAGGTGTCAAAGGAAAGGTTTGATTGTGGGCTTCTGAGACGACAAAATTCACATTTATTTACCTTCACGTTGGGAATTTATTATCTAGTTATGATTCATTCCCATGTTTTACTTTATTACGACAAGTTGGCCTTTCAACACGGCATAAATCGAGTAACAACAATTGCTGGACCGTGACAGATGACAGTTGCGACACGCAAAGTATGGGTGGGACACCTTTAAAGAAAATAAAGGTCACAAACTAGAAAAACAGTGGTGATGTCACAAAGAAGTAATTCTTGGAGTCGCATTCACAGTGAGGGAAGCATTTTATTTTGCTAGATTCCATTCCAATTCATAACACTACAATCAGACCAGCACTACTACGTAATAGTGGCCGCGGAAGTGTGGGGACGTGGGGACACTGTCCTCACGGTCTCGTGGGACCGAACAAAAACCTCGACCACAAACTCAGACCAAAATGTAATATTTATATTACCTTTCCAATCAAATTTCAAAATAATTGATTAAATTTATAACTATGGTTTGATCATTTAAATAATGCATGTAAAAAAGTCTCTTATTTAAAAAATCAAACCATAGTGTCATTTGAATATGCAATTTATTTTGTAAGAATCAGCTAGATTATAATTTTTACACATTTTCTTAAATTTTCATGAAGATCTTGTATTTATCAACTTTCATATTAATGTTTTATCATACCCAGTATTAATTCTTTACAAATACTAGATTTCTTTTGAAACAAACCTTTAGCTCCAAAATAAGAAAGGAAAATATTCGTAAGCAGCTTATCTAATATGTCCCCACAGTCCAAATTATCTTCCGCGTCCACTGACCACTATTGCTGCTTCTGCTACTTTGTCATTCTACTGCTTTTTTTCTCCTTTTCAAAGAGAAAGGTTTAAGAAAATCCTTTGTGGCCTGGTTGACATTTCATCTTGTAGAAGATGATAAAACATAAATCTCCTTCCCCGAGTTGAAAGACAGTTTGGACAATGTTTCTTTGATAAGAAGTCACTTGACATGCGATGCAGAATGCTTTTTCGCCCGCTCGCTGCCTGGTCTTATGTTTTAGAAATAAGTTGCGAAATTTCATGTAAATATCAAGTTTGCAAAGAAGTTGGGAAACGTGAATTCCTGCCTTGTTTCTGCTTTTCCTTTGTTTTTCCTGCCTGACATTTTTTCCGCATTTGGATCTCTGTCGCCACGATGTTTTCATGTGGTCTTTCAGACGCTTTTCTCCCACTATGCGATTAAGTTGACAAGAGAAGAATTTTAAGTGGTGAGAAAACTAGGAAGCAAATTGGCTCGCCACGACATGTGCGGAGAGAAAGAATCTAGTGAAAGTCATAAACTTTTAAAGTAGGGAAAAATGAGGAATATTGGGTGTCACATGTCACATGCTGCTGATCTGGTTTATGGTTCTAAAAAAATAGAAATGCTGCCTTCCTTAGCCCGAGTCAGGTTATTATCAATAATTGAAGTGGGTTTGTACAATTCCCACAACATTTGTAATTTCCAGATTTTGCTCATGCCTGAATTTGACGTCTAATTTTACATATTCTACGTGCGTGTGCAAAATCTCAAGGCTCTCGGATAAGCTTAATCAATAGACAGAAAGACAACCATGCAGCAGGGTACATAAGCCCTGGCTACAGTGCAACCTTGTTTAGCCCGAGTCAGTTGTTACTGTTATTAATTAATAATTGAAGTGGGTACTACCAAAATTTTGCTCATGTTCGAAATTGATCCCTAATTTTGCATGTTCTGCGAGTGAGCAAAATTTCAAGCCGACTAGATAAGCTTTACGTGCGTCATCAATAGGCAGACCGACAGACAATCATGAAGAGTACATAAGCCCTGACTCGGGCTAAAAAAAACAGAAAAGCAAGCTACTAATAACCTTTTATTAAGTAGAAACTAATACAGTGTGGACACTTCAAAGACGTCTCAATCTCACCAAATTAAATAAAAACCTGGCTCCATATGCACCTACATTTCGCAACGTTTTGTTCCCCCTTCTTACTCACCGAAATGAACAGATTGATACATACACACATACCCTCCATAAAAACACTAATGGAAAAGATCATGATTAAATTACAACAACATTACACTGCGCAGTTAAACATTCACCGACTCGACTTGACTTGACTCATCCCATGTTTTCTTAGCTTGGCACATTTCCCTCCTTGTTTTTATTCCCTACCTTTCCTTCCACCAACCAACTGCGTACTCTTTTTCAGCTAGTAAAACTTTCACCGTATTTCTTTGTGATCCTGTATTATGCATCAGCCTTCATTTTTTCTAGTTTTCCAGTTGAATTAACATTTGTTGTTTTGCTACGCGTCCGGCCAGTTTACTTTGGACGATGTTTGCTCCTCCGCAGAGAGGAACTACTTAGCTAAATAAGATTTTCCGAATTTCTTGCTCACTCTGCTGCTTTTTCTGCAATCTCTTCATCGAATTTCAACCAACCAAACCACCCCCTGAGTTACGGAATCCTTGCAGACGCTTACATGCGCTTGGGGCAGTTGAAATATGAGATTCGTCCCGTTCAACCAGATGAACGGATGAAAGATGCTTATGCAGATTTCGTGGAGAGAAAGCATGCATAAAATGATGGGCTCTGTGCACACTCTGACCCACATAAATTCTGCCAGGGCACAAGATCAAGTTATTTTTAAGGTGGAATTTTTTTTCTACGTGATACATATACAACGAGGAAATGAAAAACGTTGCTCAAATCTGATCAATTTCTACTCTGTCAGTTTCACCTTCTTGCGGCGGCCAATTTAATTCAGGTGGTGGGAGGGAGGGAGATTTTTAGGCTTGATATGTCAGACGTGAGGGAAGCGGTGGGGAAAAGGCGAGTTTGACCAGTTTGCCGTGTGTACATACGTATAAGAATTTAGACAATGTATGTATTTTAAACATGATATCCTGGACTTTGCTATTTTAAGTGTTTCGTTCGGGTGAAAGTAACCACGTGCAAGAAATAACGGGGGAAAGTGGTTTCTTGGAGAGATTTTGACCTGCAAGAAATGCAAGATGCTAGAAACTGCGCCCCATACGGTGCATGGCTACAGGACGCATATTTCTTGCACTTTCTCCCAGTTTCTTGCACATCGCATTTCTTGCGTTTCTTGCTTTACAGTGAAAGCAATGTAGCAAACGAACCACTTCCTATTTTATAAATACTTTGTTCGCACAAAGGATTATTTTCCTGTTCATAAATCTCCCCTGTTCAGCAATTGACTGTATGTGTACATTTACAGTGGGAATATAATACCCCCGATAAAAAGACTGGTTTGAACCTAAATAGAATGTGAATTGGTAAGAATCGGAGCCGCTAAATGTTGGGAGATCACACACGAGGACGACATTCCTGAGCCCAACCATACACACACAATGGCACGGAATGGAATAGGATGTGGGAAACAAAACCCAACGTATCTATAACGTAGGCTTGGCTCGCTGGTCTGGTCTGGTGTCATGTCCCAGGCTGCGAGCTGCTCTTATCAAACCTGAGGGCGAAGGTTATATGGACATATTGGCGGTCTGGTCACTGCTGCCTGCCGTTTGTCACCATCATCCTCCACCAAAAACCACACCACAGCAGCGACTGTATTGTCCCGGCCAAGCAGGAACCATCGTCGTCCGTCCACCAGCCACTGAACTGCTTCTACGTCGTAGTGAAAGTGAAAGCGAAACTATTTTATCAATAAATACTCTCCAAACAAAGAGTACATTCGGCTTTGCTGAAAATTCGACTACTGTCCAAATAATTTACGCATGCTGCCAACCAGGCTGCACACGTGGTTAAAAGACTCGTCTCGCATAGAAATTGTGGATACTGGACTGGACCCGTTTCTAAAATTGTTTAGGAAGCGGTAGTAAAAAATCATGCAGGATGAAATTCATTTCCACATGCATTCTGCCCGTTTCCAGTGGCCGCGGAAGCTGTGGGGACATCTAGGGACGTTAACATTGTAGGATGGGGGAGAGAGGGGTTTATATAAGATGGGCAGATGATGGGGACATCGAATAACCGTGGGGACATTGTCCCTCTGTCCGCTTCCGCGGCCATTGTCCATTTATGCATGCACATGCCTCTGCCCAATTATGCTTTTTGATCAGTACACCACCCACACGTGGAAAATCAGTGGACAACGAAGGAAGCCAAATCATGGCGGTAATTTTGCCACAACAAAATATTTATTGCTCTAGTTTGGAAGAGAGAAAGTAAAGAGAGGAGAAAGTTGTTAGGGATGGATGGACGGTTCCATTAGTTCTTTGTCTCGTTCTCTCGTTGCTTGTTTTTCTTCTATATCCTTTTACCAGCCAGGTTGGAAAAGGTGGTCGTGATGGCCGTGGTGGTGTGAGGTTGCTTTCATTTATTTATTCATGACTGGCTCACCAATACGTCCTCCATCCATCCATCAATTCAATCAGGGTTTGAATGAGGCCAAAAGATTCGGCCATGAAAGAAAGCTTACCCCTTTTTGACTTGATGATGACGAAGGACATGCACAGTTTATTTGTATGGTGGGCTATTTACTAAGGGGAATTTGATCCCACTTACTTTGATGTTTCCTTTGTCAAATCGAATTTAGATCGAATACTTTCGTGACTTCCTGAATCCTTTATTGTTTTACGATCGGATAGAAGAAAATAAAACTGTCGGCAAATGAGCGGTGTGTTTACGGTCTTAAATTACATAGGAAGCAAGTAGTGTCTCGATATAAAATGCGATTTGAGACATTATTCCAAGAAATAATTATTTTACACTGATTAGTTTTGGCCGTGAGACGGTTCGTGGCACGGAGTAATTATTCTTTGCGATGGGACTATTTCCTGGAAATGTGGATGTGAAGAAGGAGGCAAAGGAAAGCAAGGATTGATTAGTTCCTGCTGGTGGTATGTATGTATGTAGTGTGGAAGTGTGCATATCGTTGTCGCATTATGTATAAAGTTATCTACTTTCTCCGCCCATTCAATGAGTTTACTACATGTACTTACACTGTTAAAAATGTGGTAGAGTCGGATATATACTCCGTACTGGTATTGATTTGGTAATAACTTGCCACCGGTGGGGTAGTAGTTTGTTTCTGAGGGATACATTTTCATTACTAAAACATTACTATACGGTAATGCCCTTTATTACCAGTGCCGGTAAAGTAATATACATATGTAATGATTTACTACCAGCTTTCTAAGAGTGTACTTATCTACATGCTACTGCAGTATTTAGATAAATGCAACGCGGAGGAAGTTTCACTTTTGAAACGTGACAATTTCCTAAAACTCGTCTCCGACTGACGTTCATTTTGGTGGCAATGAAATCAAGCGAGGGATACATTTTGCAATTGGATATCGTGAATATCCTCCGCACTTTCTGTATCTCTTTTCGCTTGTCGAGGCTTCGTCAAGTCACTGAAGAAAGCAATTTCCTCCTATTGATCCAGTTTATGTAACCAAATCCAGAAATCCAATCCACCCATTTCTTCCTGCTTCCCCCTCTACACACACACCTTACACTTGCACTGTCCTGTTAAGTACATACATCTCGAACTACATGAATGCATATGTACATACGCGGATGGAAGATATCAGGGGTGGGCAAGATACCGTGTCAAAATACAGGATTTTGAGTTCCGTTCTCCCCAGGATTTGGATTTCCAGGGTTGTTACACCCACAAAAAGATGAGAATCTACATCGAGAATACGGCAGTTTTACGAAAATACGTGTTTTGTGCAGGAATTAACTTTTTATCGATGTCAAAATATTTTATTTTGCAAAAAAAAGTCGTAACAATAATTTAATTTGTCAGCTATAAAAACTTAATTTCTTCACAAAACCTGTATTTTCGTACGATTGTTGCCTTCTGCTTGCAAATCCTCGTGTTTTTGTGGGTGTAACAGTCCTGGAAATTCGAACCCTTAAGAGATCCGAACTCAAAATCCTGCATTTTTACAAAGCATTTTGCCCACCTCTGCAAAAAATATATATTCGCTTTCTCTCTCAAATATGTACGGTCACCATGCAGCCGTAGAGATCACTCCACTCTTTATCGCTTGCTTCATACAAACTCGCCATGTTGCATAATGTAATTCCTTCATGTACCTACGTGCATTCTTCTGTCATCCTCACTTTCCTTTCCTTCACCCCACCCCTTTCAAACCATGGCTGCTTCTGTGCTGGATCCAAACCGGAAGGAAAAAGAGTTAGACAACGAATTCCGAGTGGTCGTACACAATTCAATCGGAGCGCAGATATCATTTAGAGTACATTACCGACAACTTTCTCTCCTTTGTTGTGTATCCCATTCAATGGGCGGTGTGGATGTAGTTTAAAGCGAAATCGATTTCTTTTCTAGTTTGTTAAAGGTGGTACTGGTGACTAGTGTTAGCATGTATGTATGTACGTATTATTTGCCAGGAGAACGTGTTATCTGCCGGGTCTGATAGTTCATATATTATTATTTGATGTTCTGTTGTGAGCTCGTTTCCTTTCTTCTTCTTCTCTCCTCTTCACTCTTGGATGGATGGAGATGCAGTCATTTGAATCGAGAATTTCACGTGGGAATCTCACTAGCAGGAAGAAATAAGTAAGTAAAGCGGGCAGGGCACCTGCGGGACTGGGGGAAGTGAAAGTCGGTTTATATTCTCAATTGTGTTCAGGTTCACGTTGACTTAAAAGAAGGAGGAAAACTCGTATTTTCAACGGGTTGATGGGTGAGCACAGATAAAAATGGGACACCGTAGCGTCTATTATTTTTCCAGGAGGGTGATGTACATACTCATCAAAGGGATGTTATCATGTGCGATGTGCACATGATTTTCTCATTAGAGACGCAAAACTTGGAGCAGGTTCCGTTGTAGAGAAAATCACAACGTGTCACAAACAAGCGTGGATGGAGGAGAAAGTCGGGCGGAGTTTGTTTCAGTTTTACTATATATATTTTGGCCGTGATATCTACATTATTGTGTTACAGGCTTGCACGTCCCCGGAAATTGAATGCACAGAGAAGGCAACAGGGCTCCGATAATGTGTGACATGTCGGGCCTGCTACGACGGAATATTTATGACCAACAACTCTTGACAGTGAGAGAGAGTTGCTTATGTACTTTGAAATAAACAATTTCACAGAGACAAAAAGTCAAAAAAGTCGTCCGTTTACACATATTTCATTCGTTCACGTAAATCGTTTTAATTTTATTTGATTCAATTTTTTTCTCAACCTTATTATTAAATAGAGACATGGAAAAAATGAGGACACGTGTAAATACAAGAGACAAAGTACGGTTTACATATATACCCAGTTTTTGATTTGTCATTTTTTTTACCTTGTATATATAAAATATGTTTATGAAAATCCATCAAAAGTACGAAACATATTTTCAACCTTGGTTCCTCGTCCGGCCTCCTTTTTCTGCTAAATAAACATCAAAGAGGTACGACGGGTACCAGTGACCGCGGAAGCGCGAGGGGACAGAGGGACAATGTTCCCACGGTTAATCGATGTCCCCATCATTATATAAACCCTTCCCTCCCCTATCCCTCAATATTAATGTCCCCCGATGTCCCCCCAGCTTCCGCGGCCACTTCCGAGCACATACACATACCACCGAAAATTTAATCATCTCTCCCCTTTCCGCAGCTGGTTTTTGCTTTCACTCAATTTTTCCCAATCCTTTTCCCCCCACTTTCTGACTCGGATGAGCAAGTGTTGAATATTTGCACAAGATTTAAAGGATTTATAGCAACAGCACTAACTCCCAAATTCTCTTCACACGTTGAGCTGGTCTTGTGCCGGAGAGTAGTTTGAATGTTTTTTCAGCGATGACTTGAGCTGACTTGGGTTGTTCGCCGAGTTTGTCGAGATGGACGAGACGGAGGAACTGGTGGAGGTTGGGGTCGCATTGGCTGTCAGAATGGGGGCAGAATTCGGAGCAGTGACAACAACGGGCGACGTATTGACATTTGCATTAGGCCCGGAACAAATGGATCCATCAGGAGAAATAAAGGTATCTGGGCTGAACTTTACAGAGGGCGTTTGTCTCTTGGGCGGTCTCGGGACTGATTTTGAGGCATTCTCAAAGTCAAACTGTATCACATTCCCGCAACCACTTTCTCCACCACCACCACCGGTGGCATTATTATTATACGGGACTGATCCTCTGCTGCCTGGTAAATTACCCACGATAACACCTGTTCTCCCCCCGTTACCACCAGAACCAGGACCAGGAGCACTCGTGAAACCAACTGCGGAAGTAGCAGCATCACTAATCCCGGCTGACAATAACAACTGCTCTTTCATATTGAGGGCTGGTCTCTTCCCCGCCGCAGACGAAGATTTATGACCTGTCCCGAGGAAAAAATCCGATCCTCCTCCACTGCTGGATACTTGAGATGAATTATTCTGTCGATAATTTAGCATCATCGCTGCAGCCAGGATCGCATCTGGCATTGAAAGCTCGAAACTGTGTCCTCCGAGAGTGCTGCTTCCACCACTACTGCTGCTCCTTTGTCCTTGTCGCTTATTCGAGGGGAGGGTGGACGTGGATGTGGAGGTTGATGCACCACCAAGCATGAAAGTGGGGGCTTGATTTTGCGACGGATTTGCATGCTGATAAGGAGACGAGGTTCGACCACCACCAGAGTTAGCAGCACTTTCTGCGAGGAGTTGTTGCAGATTGGCGGAAATTGGCAGATCACCGCAAATATTGGGCATGGGAAGCATTTGATGCTGATTCTGGTGGTGGTGGCGTTGCTGCTGGTGAAAGTTTGGTATCTGACCGTTCTCTTGGAGTCTCACGGGCGTGTTGTGAATCGAGGGGAGCACCATCGTGTCGGCGGACGAGTAGGTGGATGCTGATTGTCCCTTCGTGGTGGTGGGGTCGACGGATAATTGGAGGTCGGCCGAGGTGGGGTAGCTCGTCGGGTGGTCTAGTCCGTCACCAGAAGCGGAAATAGGTCCGGGATGGTTGCGATAAGGTTCACTTTCCCCACCCCGAGAATGTCTTGCTGCTCGTCGCTTGTCGCGAAAATAGTAGAACGCGACAAACACGAGAATGTTCAAGATGAGGAAAGAACACCCGACCGCAATTGTGACGGAGAGGGCGGTAGAATAAATTTGGAAACCACCCGGATCACCACCACCAATTCCGTTGGAATGGTCGTTATGAAAACGGTGGTGTGGGCGAGAGCCGAGTGGACCGGATATATCGCCTCCTGGGTAGCTCGAGTAATTACCTGGGAGAGAAAAATGACACAAACAACGTTATAATAACGGGTATTCAGCACTTTATCACGTGCTCGAAGTCCACTCGTGCGAGTGGGTTTTGGGGAAATTGAAAAGTTGCAAAAAAATATGAAGACTGTACTAACCAGAAGAGTAGTAAAAGGGGTGCTGTTCCCAGTACGGAGGTCCCACCAATTGTATCGAGGGGGGATGTTGTACAGTGGAATTACCTACGATAACGAATGACAGGTAAAGTCAGAAAAGGCGAGGTAGTGATAAGAAGAAAAAAATGTGTTTTCAAAAAAGTTCTACTGAAACTTCTAGTGAAACTAGACTAGTAAAGTTGTTCTCCTTTTTCCGCGAGGATGAGCATGTTGCTCAAATTGGGACATAACTTGGAATCTATAGATTTCCCCAATTCCGTTGAAATAAAATCTGGGTGTAGAACTTTCTCCGGTGAAAATAGGGTAAAAAAGGCAGTGCAGGGCAGAAATTGGGTGATAGTTATAATAGAGGTCTCGCAGCGTATGCTCTCAGATTCTTAGCAAAATAGTGTCAATCGATGACAAATTTAATTAGCACGAAATTTGCAAAAGATACAATCTCCCTGTGGGCACGTTTGGCAGATGTATTTGCATCCGAAGGGGAGAAAGTGCGCCCAAACGTCGACAGAATGTACACTTTCCAAATTTACTACCCGTTTTCTTCTCTTCGGATGCAAATATCTCTGCTAAACGTGCCCATTGGGAGATCGTGTCTTTCGAAAATTTCTACTAATTAAATTTGTGATCGATTGATACTAGTTTGCTCAAAATCTGACAGCATACGCTGAGAGACCTCCATTGTTAGCTATATAAGTATGTAGGTAAATAGTTAGCAGCAAAGATTTCGAGATCTGGCCGGAAGTGAAATTATGATGATAATGCCATTATTACTGCTTTATACTCACTTGAGTTAATAACGTGGCCTTCTGGACGGTTTTGAAACATTGAGATCCCACCACCTCCGCCATTTCGCATCAGCTCCGGCACCAAGTGGAGCCAAAATGATAGGCGATGCGCTCTATAATGGTTTCTTATCCGGGGCTTTGCTTCTGCAAAAAGAGGAGAAAGTAAAATACGGGCATGATGAGAGAGAAAGTGTGGCCGCAATGGGCACTACTTGTGCCAATCTCTTAATGGAAAATGCATGATTTGCCCCAGAAAGGATAATAATTTGGTTTAGCGTCATCCTTTATGATGATATCATTTGAATATTAGAGGTTCTACGCAGTCCAGACAGAATTCTTTCGTGGGTAAAATGGTATCCACATTAACAGAGGGCGGCTATTTATGTGCGAAAAATTGCTAAAATATTTAAGAAATCTGTACGAATTTTTTAAAAATTGGAATTTGAGCAAAATTTGCATGTTTAAATATACCTAATCTATTTTTTATTATCGAATTTGTTTGTGCAAAAAAAATTCGTCTCATATCGTGGAAATCTTTAGTATTTTTGAAAAATATCTAAAACAAAGTTATGTTTCAAATAATCACGAAAATAAAATATGTATGCCTGAAAGCCTAGAAATATGTAAAAATATGTTGACATTTTTGTGCTCTATGAGAGTTAGGGGACACACCCACAAAGCTTGACCGTCTGTCATTATCAAATTCAAATAACGAAAATAAATGCATATCCGCCCTCTGTACATTATCCCTGAATGCATATCGGTCCGCTTCTTTATATTAATTTCTTTCCGTAATAAGGAGAAAGAAACTTACCAATGCTGAGATACTTTTTAAAGAGAGAGTCGTAAGGCGGCCATTCAATCAATTTCGGCTTAACCGACATCACTGATGACGATGAGGACTTATCTTGATGTGGGAATCGATTTTCGCCTGTCGAACCACCTAAACTCACACCACCGCCACTGGATCCTTGAGAAGACGAAGATGAAGGTGATCCTTCCGATGAAGGAGTTGATGTCGGTTCCGCGTTGGGGTTCCTGATAAAATTCATTCATGTAAAAACCATATCAGCATCAGCACTACATCATTATTCATTCATCAGCTGGCAGTAACAATCGATCAGCATTTTCTTAAATGCACAAAGTTTAGGAATTTTGCTGCTTTTTGTGGATATTTTTTTTGAAATTTTATACTATTAATTTCAACAAAATACGAAGATTTTTTTATGTATATTGGCATTAGAAAATGTGGCGAAAGTTCTTTATTACCGTCCTTTTTTGCAAATCTATGCACAAATAGATAAGTTTATTATATATAGATAGGTTTATTTAACCTCCCATAAATTTGGAGCACTTTGGCTTGTATGTAATACTACGAAATTTGGAAAAACTTCAATTTTAACATGTTTTCTTATTAGAAATTAAGAATTTTTTTAATTATGCCGTATTACACACCAAAATGCTCAAAATGAGATCATATCTAGCCACCGGATTAATATCGAAAGATTCAATAATGAAGAACCTGTAAGACTTTACCCCATTTTCTAATTTGGACACTTCCGACGCCCAAAATTCGATATTCAATGTCCAAACTGGTTAAAACCGGTTTTTTTGCGACGCTGATTAAAACCAAAGCGAAACCCTGTATATTGACTTGTTATCCTAATTTTATTTTTAAACGTATTTATTTATCAGGTAACTATGTATCTCCTCCCCAATTCTCAAGCATCCTTGATTAAGCCCAGAAGTTTAAAATAGTGTGAAAAGTTGGCTGATAGGAAAAAAGTGGGTGCAAATAGGGCACTTGGGTGAAAGTAAGCATTGCTTACTAAGCAATAAATATAAAGCCAGTTTCACCCTCGTTTGCTTCCCTGCTCTTATTTTGTGTCGCCTACAAAAAAGTAGTGTCACCAGAATCAGATAAACTTTGGTCATTACGTTTATACTCGGCGTACTTTGTAACTTTTAACCAAACTTGTAACTTAATTTTACTTTTATAGCTGTACAAAAAGTACATGAGTTGTGTGAATGTGAGGCCCAAGAAGAAATGTGTGTGTCGCCATTGTTTTTATAACGATGGCTAAAAATATGGCCTAATTTAAATTCAACTGGTCGCCGTAGAGCGAACCATTAACTGGAATTGGGCAACTTCAAACCATGGATAGCTCAAAACTTACCCCGTTTTTATGAAATTAACCCAGTAATGGAGAACCGTGTGGGAAAGCTGGACTTCATTGCGGGTGAAATTTCCTGAGAAAACACCCAGTTTTCCGGCATCTCCACCGCCAACACCGGCATTATTTTGATGAGGATCGTCCCATTCGGGGTGTTCGGCGTTAGCACTGGACAGGAATAAGGGGACGCCAAAGACGTAGTGCAGGTCTTCAATTGTATAAAGAGATACATGTGGTCAAATATTTGTAATCGAGTGGGTAATTTTTCGCAAAAATATTTATGGAAAAAGTGAATTTGCAATTGTATGAAATTTGCACACTTTTGGCTTTATAGGGTCAGTGCGGGTTAGTGTGGAGTCCACACTGTGGACCATGAGGCAGTTGTGGCCAGTTGATTATTTTTTGTGACAAAACTGCACATTTTTTTAAAAACAAAAAAATTGTTTAAAAAAATTGTGCAACATTGTACGGCAAATCCTTCCTGTTGCCTACAAATTTGCAAAAAAAATCGCCCACACAAACCCTCACTGACCCTAAATTAAATCATTTCGTCCCAATCACTTTGTACCCTAAATACTGCACTAAACCAACTCACCTTCACCATGCACACATCCGAGCCGCTGAAAGAAAAATATCACAAAAAAATGATGAGTTGACTTGTTTAGGCTTACGTAAAAGATATAAATTGCATCAAATGAATTTCTGTCTGACTAGCTCTTTTGACTAGCTTTACTCCACATCAAGGCTTATGCATCCGTCGCGTCTGTTTGTCCGTCCATCTCTCTCTCTCTCTTTTCTCCCGGGACAAAATCCAGCCTCTAATCAAGTTACAACGCACGACATGAGAATAGAAAAATCCCACATTTTCCCAAACCCAGACGACGACGGCACGACTTTTTTTCTGCATTCCTACAAAATCTGAGGACTGCATTGCAATCAGGAGAAAGTCGAAGGGAAAGCGTGTTGCTTTTCGCGAAGGATCGAATCTTTCTCCTCCAGCTTAAAACTCACCAAGTTTTTTTTTCATATCGAGACCCAGCTGGGTGTTTCAGCCACTCGATCGTTTCCATGCTTGGGAGGTAAAGGTGTTAAATAACGTGGGAACAAGTCGTTTACACACTTGACTTTCATAACTTTTATGGGTTACGACGGAGACTCGTAGGTTCTTTTTTTACGGTGCGAGGAAGGTTGTAAGCAATTTTCGAGGTGTGCAGCTGCATATAAATTTTGAGGCCGAAATTGGTTCATTTTTGTCGTGTATTGCTACGAATTTTGATTTTTTGTGGGGGCCGAAATTGAGTCATTTATGTTCAGACTTTCTTTTCAGGGGTGACAGTTATGAGAGAAACAAAAAGGGAGGAATATACTCACCTGGACGTAATCACTGACTTTTGACTGGTACTCGAAAACGTAGAAATATGTTCGGCTACTTCCTTGCGAGTGGAGTTCGCCAAGTTTCACCAGGGGAGAAACAATCTGGAGAAGATAGGAAATTTTCAATTGGAACCAATTACTAGATTACCATCAGAGAGATTTCGTACTTGAGCATCTGCAAGCGCATCTAAAGTCTCGTCTCGAACGCTGATGGGGTGTTGGACAGGTCGTTCCCAATCTGTAGCAGAATTTTTGGGTTATGTAACGTAGGAGGTGATGAGTCAGAATCAAAATCAGCACATTTTTAATCGTTTGTCAGCTCTGGGAGTTTATTTTTAAATTCTGGACGACAGATTTGTTGAGCAGGTCGCTGCCAGTTTGTAAAAAAAATGCACTCAAGATTTTGACAGGTTTTGAAGGAGGGGATCTCAGGTTAAAGAAGCCTTCAGAAAAATTGGAACTTATCGAAACTGGCTTGAAAAACTAACAATGCACATGTCAGACATGTTTCGCACGGATCTTCTTGAAACCAGCACTAAAATATCAAGAAACTAAACACAAACAATAGTTAGTATGACATTTGAGCACTTCTGCAGAATTCGCGAAATGACGAAGGTTTTAAGTTGGCAAAATCACGAATTTTCACCATGCGAAACTATACGGAGTTCATCTCTCCGCTTTCCGATTTTCTCCTGCGCTTATCTTCACCAGGTCATCGGTTTTCGCCTTTCATTCAAAATTGAGTTTATTAATTTCCTAACCAAGTTTTCAACCAATTTTTCATATTTGGCTTTTAAATAATTTTTTAACAATTTTTAATATTTTATGGATCCAATTAAGTTCCTATCACTGGAAATTATTTTTCAAAATTGGTTCACAAAAGTGGATTCGATTTTTTTTCTTTAGCGTTGTATGTTTTTAAAGATTTTAAGGGCAACATCTTTAAAAACAAAGTGAGATGTTAGCTCTTACCAACTTATTACACGTAGGAAACTTGGTATATTTGTTTTTCTTTTGTTCAAATACAAATAAAAATAAGCAATGTGAAAGAAATTTTTAAAAATAATCCACTATTCTCATCCAATTTTTTTAAAAATTCCACTGATAAGAATTTAATTTTCATCTTCAATATTAAAAAGTGTTAAAAAATTATTTAAAAGCCAAAGATGAAAAATCGGTTGAGAACTTGGCTCGTAAATTAATAAACTTAATTTTTCATGCAAGGTGAAAACTGTGAACTGATGACCTGGTGAAGAGAAGCGTAGGAGAAAATTGGAAAGCGGAGAGATGAACTCCGTATAGTTTCGCATGGTGAAAATGCGTGATTTTGCCAACTTAAAACCTTCGCCATTTCGCGAATTCTGCAGAAGTGCTCAAGTGTCACACCAAATGTTATTTGTGTTTGGTTCTTTGATATTTTAGTGCTGGTTTCAAGAAGATCCGTGCGAAACATGTCTGACATGTGCATTGTAAGTGCAATTCTATTAATAAACTTACTGGCTACAAATTTGTCGTCCAGAATTTTAAAATATTGTTATATTCCCAGAGGCGAGAAATGATTCAAAATGTGTCGATTTTTTAGCGATTTTGGTGATGCGTCATAGAGTCCTACTTTAAATTTTAAGGCTGCCTGGGACGCAGGCACAAAAATAATTTCTTAAAAATGATGTTTAGGGCTCATTTTTGGACAGAATGGAAAACGGATCGGTAATTCTGTGGAGAAACCCAGTCCCCACAGAATTACCGATCCGTTTTCCATTCTCTTCAAAAATGAGCCCTAAACATCATTTTTAAGAAATTCACTCTCCTAGGCACGGTTAATGCAGAGGTCAACGCCGCCGATTATACGCCGCCGCGCCGCCAGACGCCGAACCGTTTTGACGCGCCGCCGCCGCCGCGAAAATCTGGTCGGCGCGCCGGCGCCAATATTCGGACGCCGGTTTACATTTAAATCTGATGATTTTTTAATGTACTAAATTTTTCAATATTTTTTTAAAATTTGTTAAAATTTTAACAGTTTTTCAATTATTATTTTTGTTTCATTTTGAAAATTTATGTTTTACAAATTTTCGTATTGAAATTTACCAGATCACATTTACGAGATACGATCAAATTCAAGTTGACTACTTGACGTTCCAGGCAAGAAATAGGGGCAAAGACCTAGATAGTTAAACACCTTAAATAAGGATGCATCATAAAATTATGTAAGAAATTTTACAACCAACTGCGTGAAATGAAAAAGCCGTGATCTTTGACACAGTTTTAATAGGCAACTCAAATGGTAAAAATTTGACCTTCAAATATAACGTTCAATTTTTCTCTAAAACTTGTCTAAAGTGCATGAAGAAATAGTTAATGAAAAGATGCATGCTCCAAGAAATATTGCAAATTTTAGATTATTAGCAATGCTAATTTAGCGTGTTTCAGATCCTTCCTATTTAGCGTATATACGTTTAGTAATTTATGTAGGCGCCGCCGAAGATATTTGATCACCGCGCCGCGGCGCGCCGCCGCCGCCGACCAATATACATTTTCACGCCGCCGCCGCCGCTTAAACCGTCGGCGTTGACCTCTGTTTTAATGTTCTCATTCACGCCATTATCTAAATAAAGATGGTATTTAATACCTGTATATTCATGAATTGCGGCGGCCAGAATTTCCGTCCTGTAGCCACTGCTGTGAACACAAAGTCAAAAAATTCTTTCAAATTATTGTCTCCCTTGGGATACCTTGGGAAAGAAATGGTTAGCCTCATTAAAATCAAATCGGGAACGTATAGAAACGAGCCACCAAACTTTCAAGAGCTGATTGCATCAAAAAGTTTCCAAGTGTGACTTTTCCCCTGAGCAGAAAACCCTACCTGTAAAAACCGTCGATATACTGCTTCAAAACTTCTCTGCGTTTCTCCGTCTCGAGTCCGTAGACGGCATCGTGCTCACTGAAAGTAGGAGTATTAGCGATGTAAAATATCGAAATATAATAATTATGCACAGTGGCTGCGGAAGCGTGGGGGCAGAGGGATAATGTCCCACAGTTATTCGATGTACCCTTTATCTCCCCATCTTATACAAACCCCTTCCTCCCCTATCCTACAATTAGTGGTGCCAATGAGTTCTAAATGAGTTGGCCTTAAAGGCACTTAAAATACTCGTCAATTTATGCAAAATTGAATTTGTAAGCATTTTTGGACTCCCATGCAGTTAAATTTTGGGTATAAAATTCCATCAAAATTTTAAAATTTTTCCACTTTTGGGCCAGCCTGTCTACGGCTCATTTACAGCTCATTAACTGTTTGGTCTCATAGTAAGAAAAGCTAGAATTTTTAAATTTATTTGAAATTTGTACTATTTCATCCAAAATTTATCTGCGAGTCAAAAAAGAATCCTTAAAAATTCAGTTTTACACATATTGGTTACTAGTTTTAATTCTTTTAGTGGCAACACTATCTGCAATGTTATCGTCCCCAGATGTCCCCATCCCTTCCGCGGCCACTGATTATACAATAATAGACATCCCATACTTTAAAGTGGGAAGCAGTTCAGCCTTTGTAACTCCAAACATCATCGGAAATCTGGAGATACGATCTCTCAACACCTAATAAAACAAAGAAAGAAATAATTTCCAACGACTTTCAAATTATTAATTGGACTGATGAGAAAACTTGATGAACAAAGAGTTTCACTCACATTTTCTCTAATCCCGCTTTCTATCACGATCCCGTCATCACTTGGACCAAAGTAGTTCCACAGCTGCATTCATAATACCCAAATTCAGTGAAAAAAGTAGCAAAAATATAAAAATTTGATACGATTCGACATTCGATTTTATCCCGCATTCAAATTTTGATGGGGAAGTCTTAAAAATAAAAAAAGAGTGGGACACATATGGCCTCCGACATTTCTATTTCCGAGCTTTGTTGTAAAAATAAAATTGCCTCGTATAAATGTCTTAATAATATGGGATTATTGTTACTCTGATGGCCGACTATGGCATGAAAATGCTGAATATTGGAATCCAGCCTGGGCTGTATGCATTTTTGGCAAGATACACTTTCTCTTGTTGCAGCTGGTGCATCGGGATCACTTTTTTGGGGGGCTATGCGTCTATTATTTATTATGCATTATTGCCAGTCTTCTGGATAAGGTTTGACATTTAAATTCGAGAGATTCAAGATGCCACCATCACCTTTTTTCTACATGGAAAATAAGTTGTCATCAAAATTGAATGCAATACTATTTTTACGGCGAGACGAGAAGGTGCAGAATAAACAGTGTTTCGTTTCTTGCGGATTTGCTACATTTCTTGCACGGCAAAGCAAAAAACGGGAGAAGTTCGAGGTGCAAGAAACTGCAAGAAAGTGCATGAAATGTGTGCCGTCTAGCCACGCGCCGTATTAATTATAGCGGCGCCCGTAGTTTCTTGCGCCTCGCATTTCCTGCAGGTCAAAATGCCTGCAAGAAACCAGTGTTTCAGTTTTTGTGGGGTTACTACATTTCTTGCAGTGCAGTGCAAAGCAAGAAACGCACGAAATCCGAGGTGCAAAAAACTGGGAGAAAGTGCAAGAAATATACGTCATCTAGCCACGTGCCGTATGATCTATAGCAGTTTCTACCGCCATGCATTTCTTGCAGGTCAAAACTCCTGCCAGAAGCTACTTTCTTCCCCTAATTTCTTGCAAGTAGTTACTTTACTTTACACCCTAAACCCTGTAAATAAATATTATCAAAGTCTCACATCCGAATCCAGAAAATATTGGAGAGGCAACTGTCTCAAGCACTGCAACATGAAAGAACGAACCCATCGTATTAATTTGTACCACGGACAATAAACCCAATTCAACAACAAACTTTTTGACAGCCATTGTCACTACCTGCAACATGTTTGAAGGGGGCTCCGTCGGACACTTAAACCGTCCAGCGAACTTTTTCCCCAAGTCCTTCCCATAAGACAGGCCCACCGTGAAGGGAGAAAGTGCCGAGCCTGACATCAAAATTACTCGGTGAAAAAGTGCCTCAGTAACGCGATGTTCTGTTTGATGATGTGGTTTCGTTTGGGGTTGTCGTTTTTCCGTCCACCCAAAAAGAAAAAAAAAATCACCACCAGTCAAGTCAAGAAGTTCGTCGTGGCATCCCAAATCCAATCCAATTCAGTCCATTCAGTCAGTCAAGTCATGAACGAGATCATCATCGTCGCGGTTTCGTGGATGTGATTCCAGTGAAAGGTTCCAGTTTTCGGATTGAAAATTGGAAAGATATCGACCGCCCCCAGGCCGATAAAATTATTGTGGAGGTGCCATTCCAAAAAAAAAACGAAATGGTCCGAGAGTTGGGAGAAGGGCACGCATTCGTGATATTATAAAAGTCCACAAAAATATAATATTCCACATCCACCAGAATCGTATCACATCATATATTGAGTTGGGTTGGGTAGTAATGGTCCAAGTTTCCGTGCAGAAAAAAACGAGTGGGATCCAATCCAATCCGAACCAGGCCACGCGGGGAGTAGAATGAGTGAGTGAGTGAAAGCGTCCCGTAAAAAAAGTGAGGGGAAAAAAGTTGATGTGGTGTGGTGGTAAAATCCGTGTCGTTTTTTGTTTGTTGTTTCATTGGCGTTGAGAAGAAAAACATGAAATAAGAGAAAAATTCAATCATGAGAATGAGTCAGAGATATAAAGTTAGTATTTATTTATTTATTTAAACTTGAGGCCAACCCACGCATAAAGAATAAGGAAAGAAAAGGAGAGACAAATGGGAAAACAATTTAGTAGATATTCACTTATTAGGGAGTTTGAGCTGCTTTATGGGAGGACTTTGTCTGTCGGTCTGTCTGTACGTCAGCAGGATAATGCGAGAACGGATCGAGATACTCGAGATCTGTTTGCGGCATTATACATATGACCCCAGGGGGAGGATGTTATCTGAACTTTTGGGGTCAATCGGACCACCCCCCTTGGCACCTTTGGGGTATGGTTGGGGGCAAAATGAGATTTTTACTGAAATTTAATTTATAGATGAAATTCGGTGAAATTTAATGTTCCCCACTGTCGTGAGTGTGATTGAGGTAAAATGAGACTGAAACTACTTCTTTACGTGCGTTTACTACTATTTATTTTCTAACTTTCCCAACTTTTCCTAATAATATACATTCATACCCATAAACAACGGTATATCCTAGATGCGTACGTGCATACGTACGTGCATAAGTTTGTCCCATTGTCTTGAAAACTTTCTCCCGAGAAATATGGCGAATCTGACTTTCTCCGACGTATCCATTCAAACAAAAGGTCTTACTCGGCCGTGACGAATGAAAATCACACATTGAATCCACCCACCCAACTTTAGGCGGTTGAATATGTCATAAAATATTTATTGTCCGACAACGACGACGAGCAGGGCAATAAGTGACCTAAGCTTGGTTAAATTGAGCAAAGATAAGATCCGTCATTTATGCTGCTGCTGCTGCTTTGTTTTATGTATTGTTTATTTTATAGACACGGGAAAAAAGATGGGAACGATCTTTCCAACCCTGTGCCAAAATGTTTATTTATTGCAATGAGCTGCCAAACACTTCAAATTATCGCGCCATGTTTCGTATACATTGTCCTCGGACATAAGCAGAGGAGCACTTATTCCGTCACCGTGCACCCACTTTTGTACATATTGAGTCTTCTTCTTCTGTCTCTCTCAGTGGCCGCGGAAGGGTGGGTGAGGACAAAGGGGAAATGTCCCCACGGATATTCGATGATGTCCGCATCATCTGTCCATGTTATATAAACCCCTCCCTCCTCCAATCCTACAATTCTAATGTCCCCCGATGTCCCCATACGGCTTCCGCGGCCACTGCTTGCGACTGCACAATAACGATATTCGATAAACTTATTCTCACAAAGAAGTTTTTTTCCTCTTTGGTTCAATGTTTTCGTATAAAAGTTTCCTCGGGGTGAAAATAAATCCTGGATTTTTTGCAGGGAGGAAAAGGCAACCGACTGTGGCTGACATGACCAAATTAATTGCCGTGGGTATGAAATGAAAGGTTAATTTTATTTTAGTCAATCCTCTCAAGCAGGGATTTCATTTTGTTGACAAGGGTTTGACTAATGAGATCAAGTTGGTGTGGAGAAAGAGAAGGAATATTTATAAGGGGGGATTAAATATTTATTAGAATTTTGTATGTATGCACTCTTAGAAAAATGGTAGTAAATCATTACTGACCCGAGTACATATGGGTATGGCTTACGAGCACTGGTAATAATTGGCCTGGTAAAAATTTACCAGTCAGAAACAAACTAGTACCAGTCCGGTAGGAAGTCATTACCGCAGCATTAATATCAGAACGGAGTAAATATACACTCTTAGAAAACCTGTATTAAATCGTTGCTGACCGGAGTACGTGTACGATTCTATTGGCACTGGTAATAACGGGCACTACCGTTTAGTAATGTTGTGATAATTTAAAATTTACCACTCAGAAACAAACTACTACCAACCTGGTAGGAAGTTATTACCAAATCAATACCAGTACGGAGTATATATCTGACTCTACCAAATTTTTAACAGTGTGCAGTTTCCAAACTCTTTTTTTTATTAACTCATTCATCCCACTAATTAGTCATAATCGTGATTATTCGTCGAGGATATTACGTAAATTCCAAAAATAGTATATTTTTTAGTATTAAAAATGTTGCATAATTTGTGAAAGTCATTCCCACCATGTAAACAAGATAACTCAATAAATGGGATTCCTTCTACATATGTCAATGTTTTTACGCTCCGTTAAGTGATTTTCGCTCAAGTTCCAAAACTGTCTCATTTCTATTCACTGTTTCTTTCTCTGGTTGCAAATCTGGATTTCCAACTACTTATCGTCATGTCCTCGCTCTCTCGCTCCACATTTTTCACCAAGTGCTGAAAGAACGTACTCATCCTGACGTTGAGTGATCATCCAAATAACCCACCATCCACCCACCGATCAATGAATATCCTTGTCTGCTTGCTCTCTTTGGGTCAAGAAAGAAAAGGGTGAAAGTTTTCTCATCGTATCACACCGTGAGATCCAGTTTTGTTGCCGTAATACAAATATTTTTGTGGTGATTATCTATGGTGAAACCTGAAATGTTATATGTACTACGCCCACTCAGAATGGAGGTCTCCCAGCGGATGCTCTCAGATTTTGAGCAAATTAGTGTCAACCAATCACAAATTTATGTAATATAAAATTTGCAAGAAGCACGATATCCCAATGGGTACCATTTGCAGAGATATTTGCATCTGAAGAGGGGAAAATTCGCCCAAAAGTTGGCAAATTTTACACTTTCTAAATTTCCTGCGCGTTTTCTCCTCTTCGGATGCAAATATCTTTGCTAAATTGCGAATTGTGAAATCGTGTCTTTTGCAAATTTTAGCCTAAATAAATTTGTAATTGATTGACGCTAGTTCCCTAAAAATCGGAGAGCAACCGCTGGGAGACCTCTATTGTCCGTGATTCCAGCGAGTTTTGTTATATAGACAAACTTTAGCATTATTGTGATTAGCTAACCGGATTTCTAAAGTGGGATTATCTTTTTATTTGCAGCGTGAAATTGACGGACTCACTCACTCACGTTGCATAATGACGATTACCCAAGTTTCTATTGCAATAGAGTTGCCAAAAGTTTAACCGTGGACACTTTGTGGTGAAGTTGTCACGAAGTCGTCATTTTATTGGGAACAGAAAGTTAAACAGACATTTATTTAGAGCAGCGTAAACAAGTTACATAAATGTTTTTAAAAAACAATATGAGATTATCTAAAAAAAATTTTATGAAAGTTCATAACACAAAATCATGGACAAAATCTTGAGAAACAACGATTTCATGCTAAATCCGACCAGCCACAAACAGTGTTTCGTTTCTTGCGGGTCTTTTACATTCTTTTCACTGCAAATCCAGAAACGCATGAAATGTGAGGTGCATAAAACTGGGAGAAATTGTAAGAAATATGCGCCATTTAGTTTCTCCGCCGTGCATTTCTTGCAATTCAAAACACCCTCAAAACCCACTTTCTCCCCATCATTTCTTGCAAGTCGTTACTTTCACCCGAAACACTGCCCACACCATGAAAGACCGTCGTACCTAACTAAATTCCTACTAATTGTAACCTAATAAAAATTGTACCTCGCCAGAATTTTAGCCTAATTTCTCTCTTCTCTACCTACCCAAGATTTCGTCCCAACTATGCCAGGCTTTTCTAATTTTTATGATTATGGCGTCGTTCTTCTGAGGACATAATTCCGAGCATAATCCACTCTTCTTCCTGTATTAGGGGAGACGCAGAATAACTGGAAAAAGGCATCCAGCCAGATTTTCCCGTTTAATGTTTACTCAAATATTTCATGCCCTGTTTCCGACAACCACGAACCAACCTTGTCTTCAAACTTTGTGAATAAATATTCAACCAGCATCTCATCTAAGAGGAGCATCTCTCTCTCTCGCCGGGCATAATGTTTTATTGTTGGCGGAAGTTGGAGATCTTGAGAAACTACTTGAGACCAAAGTGAAAGGAAGGGTTTAAAAATTCTCTTGTTTTTCAACGAGCTTGTTTACAATTAGGAGATGGATAACGTTACTCACATACAAAAAGTCTGTTTCGTTGGTGCGGTGATGCATTGTTCCTACAAATCTGGAAAAGTTGGCTGGCTGGCTGGTTGGTGAATGGAATTGTGGTGGCTTGATTTAAAACGTCATGTAAATTTGGGACATTCCATGCACCAAAATCCAGTTGCAATGCAATGGAATGAGTTTTGTTTGAATAAATGGCACGGCTCAAGCCCTACTTTCTCCAAGCAGATAACAAATGAGGGAAGTCCGACAGAAAATATTTCTCTGGTGAAAGTCCTTGAGTTAAAAATAGGGTACAATATGTGCATACACTTTTGGTGGGAGTCGGCCTTATGAGATACTTAATTCTAGTACAATACGGTTGACGTGAACAAAAAAAGAAAATTGTGCTTTAAAATGTATGTAGAAAAATTGATTAATGAAAAATTTTCCA